GCTGCTAAAATCATTGCTCGACTTCGACCAGCTCGCAAGAAGGGTTGGGGAGAAGACGGGTTGAAAAACTTAACGTTTATCAGCTATGAAGCTGCTAAAATCATTGCTCGACTTCGACCAGCTCGCAAGAAGGGTTGGGAAGAAGATACACGGGGAACAACAGCAAAATAATTTGAAATACAACTAACACAAGCAATGAAAGGAAAAGAGAAGATTATATTGATACGAAAATTCATTATACTAGCAGTCGTCTCGACCTTTACATAACTTGAAAATAGGTAGAGAACGACAAGAAAAAAAAAAAGAGAAAAAAAGAAAGAGAGAAGAAGAAACAAACAAAAAACGGCACAGCCCCAGGACAAACACTGCTAAGACTCAGCATCCGACTTCTCAGCAATGTAATCCCCACCTTCCACAATCGTGGCAGTCTTCTCTGCCTCCGTATCCTTGTCGACAAGCGGTTCAGTGCCCTGTTGCTCGACATCCCCCGCCTCGACTTCCTCCTCGCGACTAGCCCCACTTGCCCCGACTAGTTCGATCGGACCGGACAAGGGGGTGGGAGGAACCTCGAGTTGCGTGCTCAAGCCAGCCTTGCGGATGGCCCAAGCCTCGAGTCCCGACCACCATGGATAATCGTCGGGGAGAGAGTCATCGCCCTCATAGCCCTCGGGATAGGGAAGCGTCTCCTTAACCGCCTCACGGTCGAGCTTCCCCTCAAATTCGGACCCCGACACCACCGCCTCCCATGCGGAAAAAGTATGCTCGAAGTATTGGAGGGTGGCGGGGCAGAGCTTGTCGAGAAAGGCGGGAGAGTTGAAAAAGGCCTTGACGACCTCCTGGCGATAGGTCTCAAGGAAGACGGCGCCCATCGGGGACTTCAAAAACGTCCTGCGCCCCTCCTCGACGCCGCTCTCCCTCTCGACCACGGCCTCGTCACGAGCCTTGTCGAGGTCGGCCTTGAGCTTGTCATTCAAGTGCCGGAACATAGCCTTGTCGGCCTTCAGCTTGTCGACAAGCGCCTTCGAGGCCTCCAAATCCTCCTTTAGCGCCTCGATTTCCTGGCGCTGAGCCTCACACTTGTCCTTGAGGGACTTGGTGGAAGCGAGGGGAGCCTTGCTCGTCTCCTCGAAGCAAGGGAGCGCCGCGGCCAGAAACTGCCAACAAAAGCTAAAACAACAATAAAATTGGCCAAGTAATATGTGAAGCCAAAGAAAAGCACGACGATAAGATGGTTTAAAGATAAGAAGAATACCCGAGAAAGGCACAAGATGGCGTAATTCGAGTGCTCATAGAGATTCCCCTCGACGCGCTCCTTGTTGACGTCGGGGATAGTAAAGTTGAGGTACTGGGCCACCTGATAGGGCTCAGGGTGGTTCCAGAGTCGAGACGGCATTTTGACCATCACATCCTGGGCGGTGATCGGAGCTTTGGCAGGCTTCTCGACCGCCTTCCCTTTCCCTTTGTCGACCTTGCGACGTTTCAGGTCGTCTGGGATCAGGACGACGGCCCGTTCATCTTGAGCCCTCTTGCGGGAGCTAGAGCCCGACGATTTGTTTTGGGCGGCACCAGGGTTCTCGACCCTGGATTTCTTCGCAGCAGTCGACTCGACTGCCGCACCAGCGGGTCAAAAAGGGGGAGGAGCAGAGCCACCCACCGGCTTCTCGGCCGGTTGTTTCTTCAGCTCGAAACGTTTGAGCACCTTAACTGAAATACAACAAGAGGAAATTAGCTATCGGACAAAACAGTTAGCAAGTGCAGTATGAGTAACTAAAACGTGAAGTCAACCCCGCAAGAGAATATGTTAAAAGCTTACGAGGATCATCGAGACGAGGGAGATCCTCGTAAATGACGATTCGCGCGTGATTGACTAAATTGCGGTCCTTGATTAACTGACGAGCACTGTAAGTGTGCTTATTTAACTCAGACAACAACTGGGCAAACTCGTCAGAGCGAGGCCGTTTATTCTGCTTCACCTTTGAAGTAATCCATGTATTTACATAAGGATACATGCCCGAAGCGGGTCAAATGAAAACAAACTTCGACTTCCACTTGGTGACGTTCGACGAGAGATCGTCACGAAGGTAACACCAGCGCGACGACCCAAACAATGGGCGGCTTTGGAAAGCTGGTAACCGTAACAGTAAAAGAAAAACTCGGGAGAAAAGAATTTGAGTATTATTCGGGAAATGACGATGAAGGCTATCATAATGCGAATGGCATTAGGGGAAAATTGATTTATGGGTACATTGTACAAATTGCTTATCAGGATGAGCTCGTCTTGGATAGGGAAGCGAAGGCCAAAGACGACTTGGTCTATGAAAAACGTATGACAACCAGGAGGAGGATGAGCGAAATCGTCATGGGGGCCTGGGGCGACCAATTCCCAGTCGGAAGGAAGCCCACTAAATTTCCTAAAACCCTCGACTTCGGCTGCAGAGGCATAACAAAATGGATTTCGAACAGCTAACCTAGCCAAGGGACAAGCTATAGATACAGTATTTTGAGAATCGAGAAGAGGAGCAACTATTGGTACAGATACAGGGCTCGTTCTATAAACAGGGATATCTAAGAACCTAAGAGGAATACCTCGGGGAATGAGATCGAGACGAGGAAGATTTCCTCGAGGAGGGCTCTTCACAATGTCGACTAAGCCGCCCTCCAAGAGCGCTTGGTCGTGCTGCTCCCAGTCGACAGAAGAAGCAGTGGCGAGAGGAGGAGAAGAATGGGAAGGCAGTGAAACCATCCTATAGTCGGTTACCTCGACAGAGTCAGAACTAGAACCCTCGTCAGCTTGATAAATATAATCGTTGATCTGCTGACAAAGGGAGCCAGAGAGAGGAGACGAGTCGGAAGCTAAGGAAAGAAAAAGAAGGAGAAGGTCGAAGTTAGTAAAGTCACGAGTTAGGGCCTACAAGATCGAATCAGGACGACTCGCAATAATCGACAGAGGAAGAAAGGACAAAGAAGGGGCAATCGCTATCGGTATCTCGACTTAAATAAACCAGTAAGTCGACCTTAGTCGACTCGAAAAGAAAAAACTGAAGAAAGAAGGCCACTAAGTCGACAAGAGCCGACTTAGCGACAGGTGAAAATCGACTGCACATCGGCAGCCGAAGACTGGTAAAAACAATAAATTCTAGCAGAGTGTACGCATAAAGAGATCCAACGCAAAACCCATAAGAAATTCGTGAAGAACATGAAGAACACACATGACCTCCAGGTTCGAAAAAGCCAGAAAAATAAAAAAGGAGGAAAACGATAGAAATCTAAAAGTTAAGAGAAGGTAGTGAACTTACACATGATGGCGTAGTTGGCTTGAACTGCGAATAAGCCTGAAGTTGCCGAAAAGAGGAGCGCCGGTAAAGCCGAAGAGCAAAGATCGCCGGAGATGCTTGAGGAAGTTGGAGAGAGTAAGAAAGCTCGGAAATGCGAAAAGTTATTTTCTGAGAGAGGGAAGTATATTTTTATAAGATAAGGATGGGTGTGAACCGTTGGATCATCAAAATAACCAACGACCCTGATGAGGCGCGGAATTCGAAGAGTCGGCGATGGAGATGACGCGCGTCACTTTAGGGTTTCAAAATTTGAAATTCGAAATAGGTCTGTCAGAGTGTCAGGCTTATCCAAAAAACAATCATGAGATTGAGATGTCCCCTAATCCATTGACGAGACGAGTTGTAGAAGGGGCCAATACGAGCAAGACTGGTAGGAAGGCGACACAACTATACTTCACCAAATTTACTCTTAAACAGTCGACTGCTTAGAGTAATTTTTGGGGGGGGACTAGATGATATAGCCACATAAGGATAACCCGGTCTAGAAGTTCCCTACTCGACCGGTGAACCACTCAAACAACTCGTATGTCGACAGGACTCTGTCGACATCTTCACATTGACTTTCCTAAAGACGATTCTACTGAGAGCAACCGGAAAGAAGCAGAAATCGGCCTAGTCGACTCTCCCTAGTCGGCCTTAGTCTATCGACTTTTACTAGTCGACATCAATGAAAGAAGGGCAGCAAGAGACGCCCGAACATCCCGATATCCTAAGTCGACTCTCAGCAGTCGGCTAAACTAAGACGACTCTCTGAAGACGACTTCGCCTCAAAAAATTAGTTAAGCGTAGCCTCCGAATCCGCACATATCCACGAGTCGACTTTCTAGCTCTCGAAGTCGACCTCGCATACCTCGAATAACAAAGATGTGATGACGACTCATCACACTTACAACATACTTGAAGTTCTACACATTACAAAGGATAAGAAGGAATCTGTTGATGACTCAGCAACAAGGGGAGACGAATCGACCAGGGCATTTTGGACCTTCTAGGTCCACCGACTTGGGCATTCTGGGTACTTCAGGTAAATATTCACTCCTATATAAAGGAGGTGAGGTAACCCTAAACCCTAACTCTCATTCATTCCTACTCCCCCATAGCTGCTGCGCAGCATCTCTTCATCACTCTCATACTGACTTGAGCGTCGGAGGCTCTACGCCGGAAACACCTCCGGCGTTGAGTTTTTGCAGGAATCTCGCGGTCTAGCAACGATTGGGAAGCGGTTCAAGCAGATCTGAGCTCACAACAATCGGTTTACTCCAGATCTGGAAGTAGACGCATCACACATCTAAAGTTAGAACTTAACTCAGAGCTGTACTAGAGTTCTTATCTCATATTAACTAGAGTTCAGTTTACTTAGCAACAAAGGACCTACTCGCTAGGTTATTGCTTCTATTCAGGTAAACTATTTCCTACATACATACCTTAGCCAAGATAATGCGATTATAGAAAATGTAGCACCCAGTACAGGGTCCCCACCAGATATGCTGAAATGCAAGTGCTGAATGGATTGCAACTGTCGGAGGTTCGACTCCCCACAAGCTCAAATCGGGCTCGAATAAAAATTGAAAGTCGGACTAGGCTAGTGAATGTGCTCGGTTAAATCGAATCGGGTCGGGGCTGCTAGATAGAGTCAGATCTGTGGTGAGGCGCGTTGGTTGCGGTTCAGCTGGTACAGATCGGGTTCGGTTCTGGTTCGCAGGTCATGGATCTAGACGAGCGTGGGTCGGTCGTGGCCAGCTCGGGCTGGACGCGCGATGGTTGAACATGAATGTACGGACGCGGCGAGGCCCTGAGCATACGACACGCGCAAGGGCTGAACGAGATCGTACAGGCTGTGCTAGTAGAGGATGGCTCGCTGTGTACAGACGCGCGGGTGCAAGTGAACGCCGGGCATATGGACACTGTGGAGCAGCTGCGAATGGGAGTTGTGTATGAGCGGTGGTGCGCGGCTGTGGTTCGGTGAAGATGTGCGGACGCCGGGCCGTGTGGACTCGAGCAGGCGGCCGCTCGACGTGGCTCGAAGGAGCTTTCGGTGGTCGAAGCTCGCCGGAAAAAGGTGTAAATGGCCGGATTTCTTCGAAGGAAAGCTAAGGAATTGTATTTTGCTCTTGGAATATTTCTAGATCTATGTTTGAGTTGAAGTGTTGGGAGATCATGAAGGAATGAGGATGAGGTTAAGTGTTATATTTAAAGTAGGTGAAGGAGTAGTTAGGGTTTCTTTGATGTTGGGCTTAAGACTTAGACCTTTAAAAATCGGGCTAGTAAAACCGAACATTGACGTAGGCTTAGTATTTAAATGTTCGGGTCAATTCAAATTGATCGGGACATAGACAAAAATAATTGGTCGATCGAATTTAATAAAATAATTAGGCTCGGATTTAAAAATCGAACATGGTCTCGATTTTCAAAATGGACTGACTTTAAATCGAACATGGGCTCGATTTATATAATGGGCAAAAATAAAATCGAACATGGGCTCGATTATATATAAGAGGGCCGGATATAACTGGACTGTTCGAAAATGATTAGGCCGAGGCTCGGCTCGTCCGGGCTTTGGTCCGATTTAATAAAATTCTGATTATTCCAAAGCTCGGTTTTATCTCAAACTAAAACCGATACTTGGCTAACTAAATCCAATTTTTAAAATTAAAATCGAATAGATTCTCCATGGCTTAGATTTAAAATCTAAATACTCGATTTGATGCAAGTAATATTAAATAAATTCATCAAATAAGGAAACTGACTATTTATGAAAAAAAAAAAAAAGTTGAGCTCCATAAATAGTAAAAATATTTGGGGCGTTACAGCTTCCATTATGATATATGATAAACTGACCTACCATTAGGCTATGTTTATTGGTGACCCAATGTAATTAAACACCCGCAAAATGACAAAAAGACAAAAAAAAATAAATAAAAAATAAAAAATCACAAAAAATGCGTGACCCAGGTCACATTGTAACCTTGGGTGACAATTGGTTGAGAGAGCCACATAGGACACTTGTCCAATTTTTATTGGACAAATATATTTTTTTAAATAAGATAATTATATTATTCGGGGTTGATTTATAATTAAAATAAAAATTGTAAAAGTTCGTATTTTTACATTCTCTATAAATAGAGACCACATTTGATATATTTTGAAAAACAATTGTAATTTTTCTATTTGATAATAGTAGTTAATGTGTGATTTTATTCGAAGTATTTGTAACTTGTTTAATTAATTTTAATATTTTATTTTAATTCCTGTAAGTTCAATTTTAATTGAGTTGGTAAATATTTTAATTATATGGTAATATATTATTTTTTTGATTCATTATGACTTTAATTAAAAAATAATAATTAATTTGTCACAACTAAAACAATAACATAATCTAATTTTAGATAATGTTTAATAAATAAATAAATAAATAATAATATTTTAACGCCCCGAACAGATAATAAATCATAACGGATTCACTTGCTCGACTATAAAGTGAAACCGGTAATTTTCAGTTTTCCGTGTTATTTGATTTAAGTATTATTATTACATGATTATATGAATTTATCTGTTTAAGTGCTTGATTATTATTTAAGTATGTAAGAATATTCAGTTATAATGTTAAGAATATTTCCGTTCGAGCCGAATCAGCAATTCTCGTGCAAAACCCTAGTCGAGCACTAGCCACGCGTTCGCAGTGCCAATGCATCGAACCACCAAGTGTCCGTGACCTCGAGACTCGAGTATTCTAGTACTCGTATAATCCATGAACTCGCTCATTTTGCCTTGAGAATGGCTTTGATGTTATTAAATGCCGAGCCTAGCATAGCCTCGCGGGCGCCCTAGCCGCTCGGCCATTCACCACGCCCGAGCCATAGCCAAGCCTTTGAGCCATTTTGTTCCTAACATCCTATTTTCCTCTAAGTATGCTGGTCTCATGCATGTTTATTAGAGAGTGTTAGATATATTTTAAGTCTAAGACAAGCCTAAGATGGATTAGCATTAGTCATCCATCATTAGCATTATTTTTACCTTAAGTATTCTAGCATGGGCTTGGAATTATTTTATATTCATCATGCATGGACTTTGTTCCCTTGTCTTTAGTGCATGACCAGACCTTTTGCAGCCTCATAATGCTCGTCCAGACCACTCCTTCAGCCCTTTATGTGCTGCAAAATCCACTCAAACACATGCAAGAGACATTGGTCTTGGAATGAGTACATGCCATGTTCCCCACTACCTAGCATATTTTGCTCCGCCATGACTCTATTTAAGCCTTCTTTTCAGCTCCATGACATCTTAATTTTGACCCTCAGTCATCCCTTAGTAAGAAATTTCGAGCATACACCCTCCCTATAGCATAAAACCGAGAGCTATTCATGAGTGCCGAGGGTAAGTTTCATTAAATCCCGAGTGCATACTTGTACTCATTTTCGAGTTCTATGCATCAAATCTTCATACCCTCAGCATTATATCCTTCTTACCTCATACTACACTCACATAGAAGAGTTTTAAGGCTTTAAGTTCAAGAAATTCGAAGAGAAGCAAGCATAAAGTCGAGAAAAAAAATAGGAAGGGCTTCAACCGAGCATACCCGACTTCTTTTGCTTTTTTCTCGAAGATTAAGAGGTTGGTGTGCTCATATCTTTTTAGAATCATAATCTAGATGAGATAAGGAGTTTATTGGTATATATACATGCCATATATGTTCAGTTATGAAGGGTATATAAGCATGCCAAATGTTTAAGTGCTCCCAGTTTACATGCATGTTCTATATGTTGAGTTTTCATGTATTTTTGGCTATGCTATGAAAAATCTGGGAATGTGCGACTTATATGAATATTTCTTGTGGAAAAGGGGAGTTCATAGGATTAAGAGATAAGTCAATTGGCCTATTATAACTCGAGTTATTGATTTTAGAAGTTAAACATGCAAATTGAACTTTATATGTGGGAATTCTGTTCCGACTTCAAACACGAATAACTCGAGTTATACTCAGGATAAAATTATGAAATTTTATGTACAGGGGTATATATGAGTTAAGAGCCTTCAAACCAAATTTCATGATTTTATCATAAGAAATGAGTGAGTTATAAGTATTAGACAGAATGCATATCAAGATGAATTTGTGGCCAGAGAACTCCCTAACTACATGCGCGTTTTATGTGAAATTTTCTTGCGAAATTGTTACCTGAGTTATGAGTAATTCCACCAATTTTGAGCTTCAAAGGATGAGTATACGATTTTATAAAATTCTTTGAATCCATGCATGTACATGTCTAAGCCTTAGTTTTGAATTTTTGAATATATGAAGCTTAAATTCGAATTTTTCGTAGCATGCATGTTTAGGCCGAGTTTTCTAGCTTAATATTCCTTATAAATCATGTCTATGATGAGGTAAAAAGTTGAGCATGTTTGGAGTTCGTTTACCCAGTCATCTAGTTCATGATTTTATGCGATTTTTCACCCTCGAGGCCTTTTATTATGCATGCGAGTATATGCCATCATGTTAGCCTTAAAAATCATGATTTATGTTGTAAAGTATTCGGCCTTAGTCATATGCTTAAGTTTAAAAAGTTGTTCCCGTGACTTAGGGTTCGTACGTGCCATATCGGCCCTACCGAACCATGTTCATATTAACCCGAGGTCTACTAATGTTTCTTTGCATATTTGAGCCATTTATATCATGTTATGTTGATATATGTTGGTTGTCACCGGAAATTTGCCGGATGGCCGGTAAGGACCGGCCGGTGTCAGACAGTATAAAAAAATTTAGAAAAAGTGGGTTTCGGAGCCTAAGTGAGAATTTCTCCGAGAAACCCTAAGGCAGTCCAGTCGAGCTGAGAAAATCTATTCCAGTTTTAAGTGTTCATATGCATCTATGTGCCTTATGTGATTTTCATGCTATATCTGCTTTGCCAGCCTGACTGTCTAAGTTTCAGTATCAGTTTTTATAAGTCGAGCAAATTTCTTAAATATATTTGCTTATAAATTTTGGTAGCTTAAAGAGAGTCGAGCCTCCGACAGCTACCCCAATATTCCAGCACTTGCAACAAAAATTTTTAGCATATTAGGTGGGAGCCTTTATAGGGAGTTACATTGCGCATTTCAGTTATTCTGTATAAAGTATGTTAGTAAGTTAATTACCCGAACGATTGAGTTATCCCGTTTGTGGTCCAGTCAGTTCTCCCAGGTGAGAGACCGAAGCAAGGGTCTTCGTATTCCACCTAGTACCCGATGGAGGCATAGGCCTTTAGTTTACGGGTTATGCACATGAACGGCCGAGGGCCGACAGGGTCCTTTGACCACAGCTTCAGTTAGTTGTGCATATGAGCGGCCGAGAGCCGATAGGGTCTTTGACCACAATTAAAGTTTAAGAAAAGTTTACAGTACAATACATCTTATTTATATTATATGAGGCCTTTAAGTTTATGTTTACAGTTAAGATTATTACAGTTCCAGTTTTTCCACGAGCATGCAGATGTGCTCACACTCCCACAGTTTTTCTATTTCAGGTGACGGAGTCCAGCGTGCCGGGTGAGCAGACGTGGCAAGCGTGGTCATGAGCAGAGGATATTTATACACGCATTTTATGTCTTAAATTCATGCGCATGTATAAAAATGTATGCGTGTGTTATGTATGTATTCGGTTTAAAGCTTCCGCTAAACTAGACAGTGCGAGACAGTCAGACTGCATGTTTGATTCCATTATCTCCATAGTGGATTGATTTGGTTGCATGTTTATTTTGTCTGCATGAGTAAGATAAGAAAGTTTTCGTAGCATCCCGCAAGTAAGAAGGTATTTTCGAAAACCAAGCTCGCATCCTTTCAAAAATAAAAAGAAAAATTTTACTCTGGTTTTCAGTATTCAAAGCTAAGTAAGGCGGGGTGTTACAAAAATAAATATTTTAAGTTGGATTGGGTTGAGAATAAATTTAAATTGGGTTGTATGGTTGGGTTGTGTAGGTAAAGGAGAGTGAAATAATTTTTAGGGACATTTACATTCTTGCGTTTATGATTTGTAAATAATTGCGTATATACGATCAAAGAAAAAATATTACACTGTTACCATATCTTGAGCAAATAAGTAGGAACATGCGTGTTACCAGTTTATCAAAATAAAAACGGATTCTCTTCTTTGATTTCCGTAATTGAGACCAATTACATTAATTTCCAAAAATAAATACATCTGATAAACATGGGGAGGACGTGTGTAGACTAAATGAATGAATAACAACCTAACGGAAAATTAGGAAGACTAAAATGTTAGCGGCGTTGCATAAGAATATATACAATATATAAACATCGCATATACGGTCTTGAAACAACAACAGAGTTGAAGCCGGTACTGTAAGTATATCATTCATTCACAGATACATAACATAATCGTGTTATATACTTAATATGTACGTACATAATCGTATTATATACTAAATATCGAAAAACAACATAAACAATAATCAACAAAAAAATCTTCTAACAAATTGAAATAAATGTTGAAACACATATATTGTCTATATATGTTGAGAAAATATACCGTCTATATACTCAACATATACTGCAACATCATCTTCGCCAACTTACAACCTTACGAAATTTATCCCATCATTAACGCCATTAAAAGCTCCAACAACTCCCAATCCACGCGCCCATCGTCTTCTTCCCGCGCGTCCGCCATCTCCACCATCAACCATCGAAAATCGTCGTACGGTCTCGAAGAGTACATAAAAAACGCATGAAATCGTCCGATCTACCGCCATCTTCCGCGACCGAGAATTGTGCGACGGGGAGAAGACAAAGGAGTCCACCATCGGAAATCTCTCCAGTCGTCGGAAATTGTCGCTCGTCCACCAAAAGCACGCTCGAGAAGCCGCGAAGTGCACCATCAGTACGCTCGATTTCTCTCGGTAGCGGGTTATCGAGGAGCCGCGAACAGAAACAGCGTTTTTTCTAATTTTTCAAATAGGAATCGGTCGAAGTCAGTGAAGGAAATGGCGTCTTTTTCATTCCTATGACCGTTTTGAAGGTCGGCGGCAACGAATTGGAATTCGAGTTTTTCGGTTTCTCCCAGAAAAGTCTAATCTATTAAATACAGTCTTAACAAACTTTTTTTACATACAGTAGATAAACAAATAAAATTGGGATGGTTGATATTCTTACTAATAAAATAATAGGTTCGTATATATCCAATAAAAGTTCTCTTGGATCGAATAGGGAATAATTATCTCTAATTTTTAAGGTTAGGTTGAGTTGAGTTCGGTGGTAGATAAAAATGGTCTTAGACTTATCTTATCTAGGTCTTACTTGTAGAATTTCAGTCTAATCCTAGTTCGAGTTAGTTTACCGTCGATGTCTTGTAATATTTCAACCTAGTCCTAATTCGAGATCCTCTACCTATTGTATTTGTGATTAGCAGTTTAGCACGTCACTAACTAGTGGAGAGTAACACGATATACACACAAACTAAACACTAGCAAGTAAATATGTACACATTTTAAGTGAATGCCTTCAATGTGACTTCAATCCATTAATTACTACGTACAATCACAAACCCAGTAATAGTAGCATTGAAAGGTTAGACCTATGATACTATTGTGAGGCGGTCTAATTTTTTGATGGATTGATCTGTTGTATTTTTGTAACAAAAATTCATAATTATATTATGACATGTAGTACTTTTGTTTATGTTATTTTTGTTAATATTAAAAAATTTAAAAATACATATCTATTGAAAAATGTATAGCTGCCAAATTGGTAGCCTTATTGCTTGAAATCTATATATATTGAAAGAGGATGGTAAATAAATTATTTGTGACAAGTTCATAAAAAAACAGAATCAACATATTTGACTTACTACTTATGACAATTGTTAAAAAATCCATTTGATTAGATTTGGTTAGCTTTTTTCGTTTTATTTTTGGTTAATATGTATGCAAAATCATTCCATATATTCAAAAAATTTGTTCACGTGTTCACGCGTTATCAAGCATGATAATATTGTTTCAAAAAATTATTATACATCTTATCCCAAACTTTTAGCAACATTCTTTATTTTATGCAATATAAAATCTATTCACGCGAATTTGAAAGAGATTCAATATCACATGATACATAACTCTATTTATCCGATTTTTTGTGGTAATTTAATTTAAATAAATAGATGGGCCCATATATTTTATAACACGCAATTATTAAATTTTATATAATGAATAACTTAATCTCCTCACATAATCCATGCTTTTTTACACACAATATAATGGATAACTTAAATTGTGGAATAATTTAATACAATGGAATAATTATCGCACGTTATAAAATATATAATGTGTGGATTATTAAACTTATACCGGTTTGTCATTAGTCCAGTTTTCTTATGTTATTTTAAAGTGTGGAATAAATAACTTCCATATTTCAAGCATTAATATCTTTTTTTTTTTTTTTTACCGGAACGATAGAGAGATCTATTAATTGAAGAAAACCAAAGTCCAATGTACAAACAACAAACTAAAACAGAACAGCATGGGAGGCACATCCACAAGATGGCCTAGAACCTCAAAGAAACCACAAAAACACAGAAATGAAAAATAAGAAAGAACAGAAATGAAGCCACTGCCTCAAAGCCTAGCTAATCCCTGCTCAGAAAACAAACTACAAACAAAAGCAAAACAAAAGCACTAAGATGGAGCTCGAGCTGCTGCTGAAAAGTCCCTCCAATCTGACATTGCTGCTTTGATGACAATGTGTGGAGGAGGAATGGAATGCTGGAAAATCCAGTGGTTTCTGGTCTTCCAGAGCCACCAGAGAAGATAAGTTGATAGCTGGATCCTCTCCTCTGCAAACTCTGAGTGACCAATGCTGCATATGGCTTGCAACCAGACTCTGAAGGAGAAATTGAGGTGCTGAAGTTCAAGCCAAGAGACTGGGGCCAGGTTCCAAGTGATGCAGGCTCTAGGGCATTGAAGAAGTGCATGTTCAATTGTTTCAGGGGCTTCTCCACAGCATCTGCAGATCACATCTAAGTCCATCCCCTTTTTCCTCAAGTTAACTAGCACTGGCAGGGCACCTGTGAGGCTTCTCCATATAAAAATTTTGATTTTCATCATCACCTTCAAAGCCCAAGTTCTTTTCAAAGTAAGTGGCCATGGATTGGGAGTCAGACTGCTGCCAGGTTGATCCAAACTCCTAACTTTTTGAGCAACCAGATGAGAATAAGTGCTAGCCACAAAAAATTTACCTTTATTAGCAAAAATCCAATCCCATATTTTTTAAAATTTAGATTTACATTTATCCAAGAGATTCCAATTATTTTTCAAAAAACAATTGACGCGTTTTAATTATGGCCAATATTTTTATTTACATATGAATCTTGTAAGTATTATTTTAAAACTGAAATCCACATGTATCAATAAATTTAAAATTGAGATCCTATCTGATATTTCCTAATTCACTTTTAAAAAAAAAAGTTGGGTTTGGAATTAACAGAAAAAAAAATGTTCATAATTCTTTTTTCCAAAACAATTGCTTATAAAAAATTATCCAAATTAATTATTACTAACAATTATATAATTGATTTGAAATCTAATTTTTTTAACACGAATGTTCTGAAATTTTGATTCACATATTATTTGACCAATTATAAATTCACTCTTCATATTTACATACTAATAAATAACAAACTTATTTAATTAAATAATCATATGAACGACTGATAAATATAAATCTACATCAATCAAATTAAATTTTACCTAATTTATTGCCTAAAAACATCTAAATAAATAAATCACATGTTGAAGGATTCTAATTTCATATGCCACCCAATTTTATTCAATCGGATAATAAAAAAGCTAATATATTATTACCAAATTTTTAGGGAACATTCACCTAAAACAAAAAATTTATCATTTCTAAAAATTATTTTATATTTTATATTCCAATTGCAATATCGGATTCAATTATATCTACAAAAAATTCTTTTTCAATGTTGTCACATAATTTTAAAGAAATTCGTTAAAAATAATTTTTAAACGAATCATATATTTCTCATTTTATGTTAGCAAAAATCCAAGAACAAAGAACTATATATCTCATTTGAAAGATTCATTATTATCTTATCTCAAAATAATTCGGATCAAATGGAAAGATCACAAATAATTTAGCACTTCTATATAAGTAGTCAATTACACAAATCATCAACCACATCTCTCTAACATTTTTTTCAATCTCTAATCTGGGCTTAAATAATTGAAGCGTTGAAGCTAATTTAGGCTGGAAAAATTTGGGTCCCAAATTTCAACATTTTTTTTTTCAAACGGCAGATTCTCATAAATAGAAACACATAATTACAATCAGATAACAACCGGTACCAGCCCGGAAAAGAGCAGCTACACAGCTGGAATCCGTGGGAGGACAGCCCGCAGGAAGCCTAAACATCAATCACAACACACCCACGAGCTCCCAACAAGAGAATACAACTCCCACCAGGAGAATATACACAAAACAACAACAAAACACACCCACGAGCTCCCAATAGGAGAATACAACTCCCACCAAGAGAATAAACACAAAACACAAACTGAAACAAGACAACAACACACTAACAACACACAAATACAAACACATACTAGAATAATCCCTCCCCACCGGCTGACCGGCAACCCAAACCCAAGAGATTCGGCTCCAAGCACGACACTGGAAACTCCTGACCAACGCCGGCTAACCAGGACCCGCCGGAACACTATTTGGGTTGATTTTAATGAGCCCATTTTAGTTAAAAAAAATGGGTCGGGTCATTAATGTAAATAGCCAACATTATTGTTTTTTTTTTCAATAAGAATTGAACTGCATTATTTGTATTATTTTGCACAGTTATGTATTTATTTATTTGGTCCGATATTTTATTTTATTGTCTTGCTTTACAATATTTATATATGTTGCATAATATGCATCCAGTATATGAATTTTATGTTTTTAATACTATAAAATAAAATGTGTAGTTTTTTTATACAAGTTATATTTTCATTCTTAATTAGTATTTGTTTAATTAATATGTGATAAATGTTGTTGGCTTGTTTTTTTATTAACAATGTTATTAATTTTTTAATTTCTTTACATATTCTTGTTCTAAATTGATTCGAAATATAGCAATACTGTTATTTGGACCTTACTTATATAGGTACTATGAATTCTGATTTTCTTACTGGATTGTAAACGACAAATGACAATTAGATCGAACAGTTCATCAAATGTCCTTCACTGATATAAGTCTGTGGTGACAATGACTCGCCACCAAATAAAATCAAAAAAATTGTGTACAAAAAAGCATTAAATAATGTATGATTTTTTTTAATTTGTCTGACCCGTTTACATTTGTTACATATATACTACATCTATTAAATTTAATATTCAATATTAAAAAAAATTCAAAATAATATATAATCTCGTGCATCGCACGGGCCGCGACTAGTTAGGTTAGAAAACAAAGCAAAACTAAATCGACATCACTTATTGGGTACATTAAGTGAAGCATAAGTTGATAATCAAGGATTGAGGAACGTTTCACTTGATTATGTAATCAACCAAAATATACAAGAAATTGCAATCATGATTACACCCACAAATTGCATCATTATATCCCCACAAGCAATCGAGGTCACCTCCAAATCCTATAAACTTGTGCTGCTAACACTCAAAGAACTGCTCTTGCACGTAAACTCCAGTACTAAATAGTAAATATTCATCCCAACACAACGAAGAAAATTATGAAGCTGCCCGACTCTAACCATGTATAAACCAAACCCCATCATGACTCGAACCCGA